TCAACACAAGCGCATAATACCTACCCCACTATAATGGTGTAGTTTATAAAATTCACGATCATTTTACTTTTTGCAGAAAATTTTTAAAAAATTTTCGATTTATGAAAATATCTTGATCAATTTTCGATTTATAGAAATATCTCGATCAATTTTCTATTTATAAAAAAATAGTGATAAATTTTCAATTTAAATAAAATTTTCGATAATTTTTTTATTTTTAGGAGAATCTCGATCAGTTTACTATTTATAGTAAAATCTCGATCAGTCTTCTGTTTCTAGTAAAATCTCGCTAAATGTGCTATTTATAGAAAATTATTGAAAATGTTTTAATTTTAGAAAATTTTTGATCAATTTTCTTTTTTATAGAAAAATCTCGATAATTTTTCTATTTATTGAAAATTTTCAATAATTTTTCTTCAAAATTTCGATTAATTGTTTATTTATAGAAATATAATGATCGATCTACTATTGATAGGAAATTGTAGACTAATTTTCTATTTAAAGAAAACAATCAATAAACTGTTTATTTAAAATATATTTTCGCTCAGTATTCTATTTAAAGAAAATTCTTGAGCAATTTTAGATTTATAGAAATATCTTGATCAATTTTCTATTTATAGAAAATTATCGATCAATTTTCTATTTACAGTAAAATCTCGATCACTATTTTATTTATAGAAAGTTCTTAATCAGTTTTCAATTTATACAAAAATTTCGATCAGTTTTCAATTTATAAAAATAAGTCGATCAATTTTTTATTTGAAGAATATTCTTGATAATTTTTTATTTATAGAAAAGTCTCGATCAGTCTTTTATTTATAAAAAGTCACGATCAATTTATAATTGAAGTTTTTAAAACATTTTCAACTGTTTTCTATTTTTCATCAATTTTTTTTCACAAAAAAATTTCGATCAGTTTTCGATTTATAGAAAATTATTGATCAAGTTTCAATATTAAAAAAATCTTGATAAATTTTCCATTTATGCACATAAATCGATCAGTTTTCTATTTTATAGAAAATTTTTGATCAAGTTTCTTTTTTATAGAAAAATCTCGATCAATTTTCTATTTATTGAAAATTCTCAATAATTTTTCTTTTCATAAAAAAATTTAAATTATTTTTTTATTTATAGAAATATAACGATCGATCTGCTATTGATAGGAAATTGTAGATCAATTTTCTATTTAAAGAAAATAATCGATCAATTTTCTTTCTTTCTTGATCACTTTTCTATCTCGATCACTATTTTATTTATAGAAAGTTCACGATCAGTTTTCAATTTATACAAAAATTTCCATCAGTTTTCAATTTATAAAAATATGTCGATCAATTTTCTATTTATAGAAAACTCTCGATAATTTTTTATTTATAGAAAAATCTCGATCAGTATACTATTTATAAAAAAGTCACGATCAATTTTAGAACATTTTTGAACTGTTTTCTATTTACAGAAAAATTTTGATCAATTCAATAGAAAATTCGCGATAAATTTGCTTTTTGTAAAAAATCTCGATCATTTTTTTTATTTATAAAAGATTTTTTGATCAGTTTTCTAAATAAAGGAATTCTCGGTCCATATTCTATATAAACAAAAATTCTCGATAAATTTTTTATTTATGGGAAATTTTCGATCAATTTTAAGAACATTTGCGATCACTTTCCTATGCGTCCAATTTTCTTCTTATATTCTCTATATATTTAAAAGAAAAGTTGAGTCAGCAGAATTTTGTTCCCTTAACACCACTGTGCAATTATTATAAACTCATATTTAATTCTTGTGTTCATTCTCATGTGTATGTATGTTTTATTAATTATAAATGCGTTTTCTACAAAATGAATCATTTTAACACTACGGAAAACAAATGAAATAAGAAAATAAAGCTGACAGATTTAAGAAATGATAAACATACATCAGTCACAAATGAAAAGAAAAAATTGTATAGAAAAGCTTACTGTTCATACAGGTATAAAAAAGAAACTGGGACATAGACAAAAAATTAAATGCACTGGTATTTCAAACAAAAATGAAATCTGCTAAAAAAATGAATTTGAGCATTAGACCGTAGCTAGCTTTTGGCTGTGAAGTGTAGGTGTTAATTAAGAAGTTATGGTGGCGATAATATTGTTTTTTTCAAATTTAAAATTAAATTCTAAAATAAAAAATATTTTTATAAATGCAGCAAAGTTTTTTAAAAATGAAAATACATTTTATTAAAGCAAAAATTCTAGCAATGTCATTGAACTCTTACGTATTATTTACGTTCAGTTGCAGTAGTTGACGTCCATATGTATGGCTGCAGTCAGTTCAGTAGCAAGAGGCATATTTTCAATTTTTATATGTAAAACTTTTTCTTTAAAGAATTTAATTTTTGTCAAAAAAAGACCATCTACATGCGTATGTCTTTTGTTCTTTATTACTTTTGTGTGTGTTAATTTTTAATTTTATGTTAATTTCTACTACATTAATATACGTTTTTTTTTTGGCAGTGAAGAAAAAAACTCTTTTGTGTGTCATCATGATGATTTTTTGTTTATAAGATTATAAGTTAATCAGGTGTGAATTTTTATAGAAAAAGACTATTTTTTATTTGTCACATTTTTTTCGGTTGTTTTTTTAAACATAAGGAAATGGTTTAATGATTTAAGTAATTAATTTTTTGTTATATATTATTTGTTATTTCCTTTTTTATTTGCATGTAGTTGAGGCGTGTGGGTGTTTTTTCGCTTTAAATCAATCAAATGTTTTATTTTATTCGACATTAGCAACTGAATTTCTTTAGAATACAGTGTGTATAATTAATTTTGAATTTCTTTGTAGTTTTTCATTACTCATACGTCATGGTTTAAATTTAAGGGGGATTTTGATTGAAACAGAATTGGGCAATGCATTCATGAGTATTTTTATATCGATCACACGTGTTTTAGTTGTGAATTTAAGTGTGGGGTAATCATTATATTAAGTCAATAAATTATGATATTTTTGGGAAAATTTAGATCAGGAAATGAGGGAATGATTGATTCTAGGAAAAGTTAAGTTGCAGTTATAATAATAGTTTAATAAGAAGAACGAACGAACGAACGAACGAAGAACGAACGAACGACGACGAACGAACGAACGAACGAACGAACGAAGAACGAACGAACGAAGAACGAACGAACGAACGAAACGAACGAACGAAACGAACGAACGAACGAAGAACGAAAGAACGAACGAACGAAACGAACGAACGAACGAACGAACGAACGAACGAACGAAGAAACGAACGAACGAACGAACGAAACGAACGAACGAACGAACGAACGAACGAACGAACGAAGAAAGAACGAACGAACGAAACGAACGAACGAAACGAACGAAAACGAACGAACGAACGAACGAACGAACGAACGAACGAACGAACAACGAACGAACGAACGAACGAACGAACGAACGAACGAACGAACGAACGAACGAACGAACGAACGAAGAACGAACGAACGAACGAAACGAACGAACGAACGAACGAAAACGAAAACGAACGAACGAAACGAACGAACGAACGAACGAACGAACGAACGAACGAACGAACGAACGAACGAACGAACGAACGAACGAACGAAGAACGAACGAACGAACGAACGAACGAACGAAAAGAACGAACGAACGAACGAACGAACGAAGAACGAAACGAACGAAAACGAACGAACGAAACGAACGAACGAACGAACGAAACGAACGAACGAACGAACGAACGAACGAACGAACGAACGAACGAACGAACGAACGAACGAACGAACGAAGAACGAACGAACAACGAACGAACGAAAACGAACGAACGAACGAACGAACGAAGAACGAACGAACGAACGAACAAACAACGAAACGCGAACGAACGAACGAAGAACGAACGAACGAACGAACGAACGAACGAACGAACGAACGAACGAACGAACGAAGAACGAACGAACGAACGAACGAACGAACGAACGAACAAAACGAACGAACGAACGAACGAACGAACGAAGAACGAACGAACGAACGAACGAACGAACGAACGAACGAACGAACTAACGAACGAACGAACGAACGAACGAACGAACGAACGAACGAACGAACGAACGAACGAACGAACGAACGAACGAACGAAACGAAACGAACGAACGAAGAACGAACTAACGAACGAACGAACGAACAACGAACGAACGAACGAACTAACGAAAACGAACTAAACGAACTAACGAACGAACGAACGAACAAAAAAACGAACGAAAACTAACTAAACGAACTAACGAACGAACTAACTAACGAATAACTAACTAAAAAAACGAACGAACTAACTAACTAACTAACTAACGAACTAACGAACGAACTAACTAACTAACTAACTAACTAACTAACTAACTAACTAACTAACTAAACTAACTAACTACTAACTAACTAACTAAATATCGTAATAAAAGAGTTCAAATTTTCCTCGAGACTATAATAGTGATTATTTGATTATAAAACTAAAAGGTTTTATCAAAGTTTTGCATTAGGCGTAGTTTCAGTGGAAAAAAGTAAAATATTAACAAAAAAAAAATCCCTTACAATATTTGAATTTTCAAAAAGTACCAAATAATTCCGATTTCTCATTTAAGGGTTAAAAACTCTTTAATACAAATACATAGTTCCTACATTTACCGCCACAGGTTGCTAGTGGTTGTTGAATTAACTAAATACAATTTGCTAAAGTGTTGCCAACTTATTTCATATTTAATTTTAAATTGAAAGGTAAATTTCAACCGCAAAATTATGAACACCTATGAAATCGTTAGAATTTTTGAAATAAATATTTCAAAATATGTATGTAAAATCAACCGCAGAAATTATTAATGCCTAACAAAATGTTTTAAATAATACATATTTTAAAACAACGTGTATTTTAATTAATTCATTACATTAATATATTAAAAAAGTCTATATTATAAAACAAAAAATTTGTTTTTTTGTAACTATGGAAGCTTTTGCAAACTTACCTTCACATTTCAGTCCTTGTATAAAAAATCCACCCATTATTGAACCACAATGATCACAGAAAGTCGGGTGACATAAATGTATGAGGCTTAAAACGATGTGGCATATCGATTTTAAATCTTTCACGCAGCAGCTGTAATTGAAAAAAATATATGTTTATTAAATGGTATCTGTTGTATGATAGATAATGTTAGATTAGACTTACTATAGTACTTGCTGAATCAAAAACGGAACCCGAACATTTACCCAATAGTTTTTCATGGCACTTTTTATGTACAACAGTTTGGCAAGCTGGAAAAATGTGAAAATTTTTATTAAATTAAATTTGAAATTCATTAAGGCAAGGAGTATTTTCAGAGCTTTAAAATAATAGGACGTATTTCGGAAATTACACGATCACCTTAATGGAAATTCTCTAAATTTAAAGTAGTCTTATAAAGTCGTAGCAAAAAACATTTATACAGGGATTAGATCGATTCATATGTGAATTGTTTTTGTCCTGTGAATCGACTACAATATCTAGAACGCTTTTTAAAACTATAAAATAGATTCTAAAAGCTTTAAACTAAAAGCTGTAAACTATTTATAATGTTTTTTCAAGTTTTCATAGAAAAAGCTCAATTATTTAAAATATGCCGAGAAATCCTTCAAAGTTCTTAAACAGCTTTTAAATAACTTTTAATAATGTTTATGAATTTCAAAACACTATTTACTGATTTTGAATGGAATAATAAAAATATAAAAAGATTCTTGTAGAAAGCTTGATATTTCATTAAAATAATAAATATTGTATATGAAATGGTGTCTTAAAGAGCTTTTTAAGCAAATTAGGAAAATATTGAATTTATTTTTCGAAAACTTTTAAAATTTTTTTGAAAGATGTTTGAAGGAATCTTTATAGAGCTTTTCGAAAGCTCCCTAAAAGCTTTTGAAACGATTTTGTAGCAAACTTTTTAAAAATATCTTTAAAAACTTTAAGTTATATTAAATATGTTTAATTTTATTTCTTGTACACTTTTCTGAATATATTAAAGCTTTCTAAAAAGTTTGTAAAGCTGGTATGAGAAAGTTAATGAGAAACGTTTAAAAAACAATCTTTAGAGATATTTGATAAACTTTTTTAAATGCTTTTAAACCATTTCTTAGATAAAATGATTTTATAAAATTGTTAAATAAAGAAATAAAAAAAAAATATTTTTTATAATAATATTATTTGGAAGCTATTTCGGAAAAGCGTTTCTAAACTATAAAATAAATTTGAAAGCTTCTAGCAATTTTTTCTAAAATCTCATTAGAAGATTTAATAAAATATTAATAAAAGGCGTCTCTAAAAAAACGTTTATAAAATCTTTTAAAAATAGGTTTAAAAATATTTTCAAGGCTTTTAGAAAGCTTTCTACCTAGCTTTTAAAAGCTTTTCTACTTTTTTAACAAACATGTTAATTTTTCTTTTTAACTAAACAGTATAGTATTTGAAAAAACTACATAAAAATGATATTTATGAACTCTTTAGAAGCTTTATCTAAAAGCTTTTTAAAAGTTTTATTAAAAAGCTTTAAGCAAGTTTACTATTTGGCTAGATGAATACTATTTCTAAATTTATTAAAGACTTTTGAAAAGCTTAATCTGATAGCTTTATGAAAGCTTTATTAAAAAGCTCTTCAAAATTATTATTAAAATTTTTTTCTAAGAATAAATTAAAATGCTTATTACGAAGAAAGCTTTTTAGAAAGTTTCGTAACAATTTTAAGTATCTAGCTTTAAAAAGCCTTTTAATATTTTAAACAAATATGTTAACTAAAAAAGTTTACTTTTTTACTGAAACAATAATATTTGAAAATTTAAAAAAAAAAAACTGTATAAAAACGATATCTACGAATTCTTTAAAAGTTTTATCTAATAGCTTTTTAAAAGTTTTATTAAAAAGCTTTTCTAAAAATGTGTTAAAGTGCTCCTAAAGCATGAAGCAAGTTTACTATTTAGCTAAAAGAATAATATTTGAAAATTTAAAAAGCTCCATAAAAACGGAAAAAAGCTTTATCTAATAGTTTTTTAAAGGCTTTATTAAAAAGCTCTTCAAAATTATTGTTTAAACAATTTTCTAAGAAAAAATAAAATGCTCATTAAGAAGAAACTCTGAACTTACTTATACACTGATAGCCCTGTTTGCCAAAACCCCAAAGGAACAGATTACAAAAGGCACAAAATGTGGGTTGGCGAAAAAATTTCGCCACAAAACGATGACCATTGATTTCATGAGTTCTGTAAAAGAAATTAAAACATTAATTATTCCCATTCAAAAGTCTAAAATAAAAAATTAAACTCTACTTTTGATGCTTGATCGCGCCACGGCGATTTGTAATGCTGCGCGGTCTAGTTCTGCGATCAACCAAATACGTGGCATTTCTCTCCAAATACGGACGATGCGGTGAATATGAATCTTCTTTTGAATGTTGGCGGGGCAATTCATAGCTGGAGTAACGACTGTGATGGGGCACGAGAGAAGCATTACTACCACTATAGTGATCACTATAATAACCACTGCTACGATCGGCAGTGCTAGAATTGCAATCCCGATCACGTTCACGTATACGTACGGTGCCGCTGTTGATGTTACTGCTGCAAATGCTGCTTGCCACTACCGATGAATTACTGCTACCTGCTGGGTAATTTGATGGTTTGTAGCGATTCTAAAAATAAAAGGAGAGAAATAAATATGTGTAAATATTCCAAGTTATTTCTAGAGAGAGTTTATTTTCTCACTTACATCATAAGCATATTGTTGTTGTTCCTGCTGTTTTTGCTGTTGGCTGCGTGTGGGTTTTTGGCGTTGATTGCTGCCTCCCGAGCTACTGCTACCATTTGATTTTTGTTTGCGCACTTGGGCGCGTGTAAACATCATCTCTCAGCCGTTTTAATTGTTTGTTATTGGCTTTTCCTTTTTATTTTTTGCTTACAATTTCCACTCTCAATTCAATTGTAATTTTGTAATTACACTTTGTTTTTCTTTACTGATTTACGCTCATTCATTCCACAAGTTCTTTTTCATTTAAAGCTGTATGTATGTGTGTGTATGAAATGGAATTTCTTGTATCCGTCTATCTGTCTCTCTGTCTGACAGTTTGTTTATTTGTTTGTTTGTATGGTGGATCAACTGTTTGTTTTTGTATTTATGTTGTTTTGTTTATGATTTCTTGGGATGTTGTTGTTATTGTTTTGAAAAGTAAATTTATGATTTTTTTAATATCTTTTGATTTCTCGTTAATAAAACATTATTGTTTTTTTCTTTTCTTATTTTTATTGTTGTTGTTGTTCTTATTGTTTTCTTTGAGGTGATTTTTTCACAATAGAAATTTTGTCAGCTGTTTTGCTTGTCTGTCATTTGGCATCAAATTGACCATTATTTATCTTTAGATTTTCATTTCTATTCGATGCATAATATTTTCATTTTAATCTGTAAAAATAAGAGATAAAGTTTTTTTAAGATTCGAAAAAATATATTTCATATTTCTCATAAATTTCATAGTAAAGTGCATTTCTAGATTTTAATTGCTCGTTAATGTCGACATTTGAGAATATGTTTCTATTTTGTTTAATTTTTGTAATAAAATGCTTAAATATTTGATAATTTTATTTGTAAATGGTTTTATGAGTGTGTAAGATTTTTTTTTTAAGATTTTTTTTATAGAAAATAAGTGATTTTAAAAACTTGACTATTGAGTTCAAAAATGTGTTAATTTGTTTAACCAACAGCGTGAAAAGCTTTCAAGTTAAAAAAAAACGTACAATTAAAAAAAAATTATTTCAACAGTAAGTAGCGCATGATATATGACATTATTCGCATAAACAAATGCATTTTGTCCATTGTACGAGTATGAAATATAAATTAATCTCAATATCTGTCAACAAGTGAGCATTGAAAATCAAGAAAATTTATTAGGGAGGTCCACAATTACAATAACAATATGAAACTAAACAACATCAGGGAGACAGAAGAAAGCTTTTTGACTAAGAACATTTTACAGTATATAACTGTGTAATTTAATTATAACTGTGTAATTTAATTCACACATTTTAAAATGTGAACCACCCTAATAGCTATGCCAAATCTAGAGAACAATAACAAATTGCCTAGAAGAAAATATCAACTAAAATACAGACAAATATAAAAAAAGTCAAACCCAATGAACGGAAGTATTTTTTAGTTGAAAATTCTTAGAAAAAACAATAAAAATTGAAACAACAAAACGGATGTGCACAATTAAACGTTAAATGTTTTCTACAAAATTAAAAAAAGAGAAATTTGCCAAAATATTGAATGAAATCTATATGTTTTCGTAGCTATTCGATTTGAATTGTACATATAGAAACCTACACAAAATACTCATGAACATAAATATTTGAGTTGATGCGTATAAGTTGTGCAAAACTACTTAAAAACAATTTGTCGTTAAAAACACGGAAATTTAAGAAAACTGGGACGATCTTTTGTTTTGAGTGGCAAATAATTCGCACCCTTAATGGAAATTTGCTGCGTGTTTTCAAGGGTTCAGAGTGCTTTAACTAACTAACTACTAACTACTAACAACTAACTAACTAACTAACTAACTAACTAACTAACTAACTAACTAACTAACTAACTAACTAACTAACTAACTAACTAACTAACTAACTAACTAACTAACTAACTAACTAACTAACTAACTAACTACTAACTAACTAACTAACTAACTAACTAACTAACTACTAACTAACTAACTAACTACTAACTAACTAACTAACTAACTAACTAACTAACTAACTAACTAACTAACTAACTAACTAACTAACTAACTAACTAACTAACTAACTAACTAACTAACTACTAACTAACTAACTAACTAACTAACTAACTAACTAACTAACTAACTAACTAACTAACTACTACTAACTAACTAACTAACTAACTAACTAACTAACTAACTAACTAACTAACTAACTAACTAACTAACTACTAACTAACTAACTAACTAACTAACTAACTAACTAACTAACTAACTAACTAACTAACTAACTAACTAACTAACTAACTAACTAACTAACTAACTAACTAACTAACTAACTAACTAACTACTAACTAACTAACTAACTAACTAACTAACTAACTAACTAACTAACTAACTAACTAACTAACTAACTAACTAACTACTAACTAACTAACTAACTACTAACTAACTACTAACTAACTAACTACTAACTAACTAACTAACTAACTAACTACTAACTAACTAACTAACTAACTAACTAACTAACTAACTAACTAACTAACTAACTAACTAACTAACTAACTAACTAACTAACTAACTAACGAACTAACTACTAACTAACTAACTAACTAACTAACTAACTAACTACTAACTAACTAACTAACTAACTAACTAACTAACTAACTAACTAACTAACTAACTAACTACTAACTAACTAACTAACTAACTAACTAACTAACTAACTACTAACTAACTAACTAACTAACTAACTAACTAACTACTAACTAACTAACTAACTAACTACTAACTAACTACTAACTAACTAACTAACTAACTACTAACTACTAACACTAACTAACTACTAACTAACTAACTACTAACTAACTAACTAACTAAACTAACTAACTACTAACTAGTACTAACTAACTAACTAACTAACTAACTAACTAACTAACTAACTAACTAACTACTAACTAACTAACTAACTAACTAACTAACTAACTAACTAACTAACTAACTAACTAACTAACTAACTAACTAACTAACTAACTAACTAACTAACTAACTAACTAACTAACTAACTAACTAACTAACTAACTAACTACTAACTAACTAACTAACTAACTACTAACTAACTAACTACTAACTAACTAACTAACTAACTAACTAACTAACTAACCGATGTGTGTGAATGTGTTAAATGTAAGCTCTGCGTGATCACTTCTATAGTAATGTATGTACTGTATTCGTCTTCTGGTGTTATAAAGTTCCCTCCCTTATATGCTGGTATGTATCGGTGTTTATTCTGTTCATTTCTGATCTACTGTAATGTGCCCCGTGTTTGTCTTTGACCTCAAATGGTCAGAAATTGGATAGATTAAGTACTTGGGTAAAGTGCTTGTACTTGTCACAAAGATGTGATTGTGAGTCGTTTCTAACACATACTTTGAAAGATATCTTCTTGGAAAACGTTTAACAAGATGTGTGATCACCCCAAAAACTCTTTGCTTAAGAATTAGTTTGTATATAGAACGGTGTTCACCTCATATAAATATCCTCCTAGAATGGCGCTTTAATAGTTATAAATATGTACATAAGTACTAGGGTGATCGACTTGATTTTTCAACCGGTTTTAAAACCGGTTTTTTTCTGCTTTACCAGTGTCGGTTTTTTCTTAATATTGATTTTTCGAATATCGAATAACCCGGTTTTTTCACTTTTTAAAAACCGGTCTCGAATACTTTAATTTGCTTTGTATTCAAAGATTATTTAAATGAAATTTTTAAGTAAATAATAATACAGCCCATCTAAATTTTAAAAATATTTGAGTCGATGAACTAGCGTATATTTTTTTACAGCTCCTTTGGTTAAACTTTTTTGATTTTCCTAATTAATTAAAAAAATTTATTTGTAAAATTGATAACTGTTTGATAAAATTTTATCAATCTTAAGATTATATTCCAATTACAATAATTAATTTACGGCTGAAATTTTATTGAAGTGTGGGAATGGCTAGGCAAATTTCCTAAACAGGGCTTTTAAAATAAGCTAGGATTACATAGTACCTTATGTTTAACAGAAGTGTCCCATTTTTTTCCTAATTTTTTATATTAAAGAAATAATGTAAATCAGACGACTAGATCTAAAGTTATAATCTTTTAAACTGTTAAAAATCATTTCGGGTCATGTTTTATTAATCAAATTTAAACATAAACCTTAAGTTTTTCAAATTAAAATATATTTTTTTATTTATAATGAAAAACCGGTTAACCGGTTTTTTCTGAATTTGAAAAATATGAACCGGGTTTTTCTAAATGTCAACTATTCGAACTATTCGAAAACCGGTTATTGGAAAATGTCAAATAATCGATCACCCTAATAAGTACTCAGCAAAAAAAGAACTTTCAAAGAAGAGAAAACTGAGTAGAATTAACTCTATGGAAGTACTGAAAATAGAAGTGATGATTTTAACACATTAATTCTAAAGAAAAAAGACCTGCAGAAGTGATGATTTTAACACATTGATTCCAAATTCACTATTCCTGAAGTCATTCTCAAGAAGGAGAAGGTAAATAAATCAATTAGTGCTACTTTTGGTGATAAATGTTATTCTTTTGGCAGTACTAAGTTGTCATGTTGCTGGGAAGTGTAACTAACAATCGTTTAAAAAATTTTACCGAAATTATAAGTGTCCAGAAATTAAACTGTAAAGTATTTTTGAAAATAAAATCTATTTCTAAAATTTATGGCACCTGTCACTTAAATGTATCTACTGCATTGTTATACTATTTATATTTTGCAAACTGAACGTCATTGTCAAGAATTTTCCTGTATTTATTATTTTCTATTTATTTTCAATTTCAATTATTTTTTGCAATATTTTTTTTTGCTCTGCCTCTTTTATACATGTTCTCTCAGAAATTGATATTTCTCTCGATTGAACTTGTTTAAACAATTTTCATGTGTACATTTGAAATTGTTACATGTGACGAAACACGTACAATTTTATAACAACTTTTTATTCTTATTGTATATTTTGCCAACAAATTGGGCGGAATGTATGAAATTAAAAGAAATATGATATAAATATGATTTTCATTAAAAATATTCAAATAATTTGCTGTTATTAAAATGAAAATTATTTTACACATACATACATGTAAATTAAAGATTCATAGCCGATAAAAAGATTCTTAACATTATGTTCAAATATTGGTAGATTTTTTTTTCTCACAGTGATAAAAAAATTACTCTGTCAGTTATGTCTGGAATATGCAAACACTATACTGCAACCTGTGCATCCCACCTTTGTACTTGCAGTTAAATCAAACAAACACTTTTCATTTCAATTATTAATTTTACGAGTATGTATTTGTTTTATATTTTTTCTTATTCTTTTCATTTTAAGTTTTTTTTTTTTTATTCTGTTCACTATGTTTTTAATTTCATATCATGTTTTCTCTTGTTGAATTAAGTGAGGAGGAAAAAATTGGTTTGTTTTGTTTTAATTAACTTGGACGAAAACATGCCTTTTTCGTATGTTTTGCAGATTTTTTTGTTGAAAGAATTATACAGTTTTTTTCTTGTTTGTTTTTTTTTTAATAGCATTTGTTTTATTTTTTAAGTTGAAAACTTACTTGACCTTGTAAAGTTCAAAGAAATAGTGAATTGAATTGGAAAAAAACCAATACGCAATATATGGGTACGT